CGATACATGCTACAAGTATTGTAATGAGTATCGAGGTGATAAGAAAAGTTGTCGAGCGTATATGCCACGTAAGTTGGTACCAGTTTCAACAATTGATCCTGATACTGGTCATATTATTATGCGACGATCCCATCCATGGATTAACAATTTTAATGAATACCTCATTGTAGCCTGTCGATCCAACATGGATATTAAATTTATTTGGGGTGGTAGCGATGCAAAAGCTCTTGTTTATTATATTACCGATTATGTAACAAAAATGAGCCTTTCTTTTCATGATACATTTGCTCTTGTACAAAAAAGCATTACATCGTTCAAAAATTTATTAGATCACACAGACAGGGAAAGTGCAATTGAAAGATCACGTAAACTGGTTTTACGTTGTTACAACACACTTGCTTCTCAACAAGAACTGTCTGGAGTTCAAGTTGCCTCTTATCTTATGAACTGGGATGATCATTACACAACGTACAAGTTTCAAGGTCTTTATTTAATACAAACTGAGCGACTTTTACAAACTGTATTGAATGAAATACGTACCAAGCAAAACTTGGAACTTGCATCACATGGTGAGTATCGCAATATTTGATTTCGGGTTTTAAAATTATGTATATTACATTAAATTGTATTAGTAAACTGTCAATACTATTTAAACCGAGTATTGAAGAAAAAATAATCTTTGTTTCTCATGCGAAAGAATAAAACAGAAAAGATCAACCGAATTTTTATATTATAATTAAATTAAAACTAATATATTATCTTCTCTATGTAGATATGCTTGACGATGATGTATTTGATGATGGAATAATCGACGAGGAAAATAATGATGAAGAACACTTTCAAATTCAATCATCTGAAAATGACAAAAAATTTGTACTTGTTAATACAAGAATTGATTACCAATATCGCTCAGACACTCTCAACAACATATGTTTATATGATTTTGTTAGTACATTATATAAAAAAAAATGAATGCAACAGATATGAAATATTTATCCAAGACTGCT